TTTCGTACAACGTTCCTCAATTTTGGTAAGGAACTCCTTAGCATTAGTTATCTCTTCGGATATTGCACCTGTAAAGGTTTCCTGAATGCCGTGCTTAATGATATTAGACTCGTGCGATTTGAGCAATCCCACTTCTCAAAGTTCCTCTTTTCATCAGGAGAACTTTCTTTCGTAAGAGTAGTGGGTTCCTCAATCTGAAGTATAAGGTTAAGATCCATGCAGCCAAGAACGATCAATACGTTCTCCTTCCAATCCTTGAAGTTTGTCCCATTAAGCATGAAAATGGAATTGATATTAGCAAATATTGTGGTAGTAGATGAATTCGCTGTATAGAAAACAAAAAGAAACAAATAATCATGCTCATATCCATACTTAATGTACAATAAATTCAAATAATAACAAGTCTCATCTCAAGATACCTAGTGCAACATTAATATCAAGTCTTTAGATAGTAATATTAATTACTAGTGGTACTCTCAGTACAGTGATCAAACATTGAAAATAACTCCTGTCAAATAATAAAACCATCTTTGGATTGATTTATTATTCACATGGAAACCTTATAATTGGCACACATTTACCACCGTAGGCGTATATGTAATTCAGCCAAGTATTAACCTTCCTTTGTGCTGGCTAATACTCGCATGAAGAAATACACACACTACATCTAAACATCCCATACAAACCAATCTATACAAAAGAGGTCAATTTGGTAACATATTGTTTCAATTAGTTTATTAAAAAAATGTTAGATAGCCTTAATTCATTATGAATGATTTACCAAATTATTCGAATTTGACTGTCTCACATAATTAAATCTCAATTATTTCTCTTGAAAGAGTCCTTAGTGCCATAATTTGAGAAAGAGAATCATTAATTTTGCATTACTAGATGCCTTTGAAAACTTTAGGGGCCCAAGGGTTAATAATTCAAAACTTTAGGGATCAAATTTTAAAAAGCTTAAAACTTTGGGGCCAATTTTAATTAGTTATAAACATTAAGGGCTTTAATTACAAATTTCAGAACTTTAATGACCTAAATTAAATAATTTTCAAAATTTAGGACCTGGATTATTAAACACGTAACCTTAAAGGTCCAATTTGGATGGATCAAAAACATTAGGGACTAAAATGTAAATTTTTATTTTGAAAAATATAATTAACCCTAATTTTGAATTGCAACCAAGGGCCTGAGAATACCAAAATTGTACCTCAAGCCCTGCCCCCAAAAAATCCATCCTCTGAAAAAAAAATGAAGACTGTATCTCTCTTTCTTAATGGCGACGGTCGTTGGCGCCGCAACCGACCGCAGTACCTAGCATTGCTGCTATCTAATTTTATGTTTTTTATCCAAAAAAATTGAAAATCAGAAACTGATTTTAGAAAATTTTAACCTAGTTCTTGAATTATAATCATGAACAATATATAAAATAATGCTCTAATTCAACAAATAACAGATCCAAAAGAATATTAAAAAAAAAATTAGTATCCCAAACAATTTTCAAATTCAAGAAAAATATATTCAATGTTGTCAAATCTGAAAATTCTTAAACAAATATTGCAAGATCTTGATCCAAAAAAATTAATTCGTAATATAAAACTGTAGTAACATTAAATCTTGCAATTTCTCAAAGAATTCAACAATGGAGTGGCTCTGAATTCTGATACCACTTATAGGAAATCGAAACGAACCAGATTCTTGAATCTTTATGTTGAAATCAATGAGAAAATAAAATAAATACATCCATAGATCTAAATTTTCTAAAACCGATTATGATTTTCCAACTGCTACGTGATTTCTTGAAATCCGTTCTCTTTTGATGGGGATGCAGAGAATTCTAAAAATCACGTGCAATTGGGGACCATGTCCCATATTAAATAATTGATTATTATCTTTCATTTATTTTAAATTGTCCCCTTATTAATTTAAAATAATTATTCCAGTCTCTACACTTTAATCCCATGAGAATTAATATCAATTAGTTCAAAATTAAACTTAATGGATCACCTTATCAACTAAACTTTAAAAATAGCACTACACATTTTAATATATATGCATGTATGGCCCCATATGATGGAATTTTTCCAGCACTCAACTGTAATTGTCTTGTGGTATACCATCCAATTTATATGATAAAAGGAAAAGGATAATTTGTATGATTTTCAAGAACTATAAAAAATTTTCATGGCTATTAGAATTTAGAGATTTCATAATCGTAGGATAGTTGGGTAAATGCGAATCGTAGCATGGTAATCAATTTCTAGACACACTCAGTGAAATCTAACCTAGATTTGGGATGTGAAAAAAGGTTTTAATACGATTTAAAGGGAAAATACCTCAATTTTGATGAAACTTTTGATTTTTTTCCATAAAGAGTAAGAGCACAATATTGATGATTTTTTGGGAAAGTTAACCAGTGATAGTTGGGACGTGTTTGATCGATTATTTAAAGTAGATTGTAGATACAAAAGTTTATTTCTTAGCCGGGAATGTTGAGACATGTTTGGGGAAGTAATTATAGCCATGGAATCGTGTAATGGATGATGGAAGCAATTTCGTGTTTTTTTATTTTTACTAATAAAATGCAGCAATTTTGGCTTAAAAATATATACAGTAGTATAATATGAATATATATTCAAAATTAGGTATGTGGTGAATTTTCAAAAAAATAAAATAAAATAATAATAAATAAATAAATATACAGACTAAACATTGACATTCAAAAATTGAAGGAATCTTTTGAAAGTATAATTGTAAGTTCTGGCCATATCAAGTTTTTGAACCTATGTTTCTCTTATTAACTTTGTGTCTCCATGAAGGAACTTACTGAGTGTCTTTCTCACCAAAAGAGAAACATTCCTTATTTTATATGGACAGTTAATTTCCTTAGTTATTTGAGAAATTAATGCTACCAATATTCATACTTGATGATGCATGATTTGAATCCCCTATTTCGCCCCATTGATCACAAATTATTTTTCCAGACTCATTTTTAACCACATATCTTATGAAAGCCAAATTTTTTTCACTTTTCATACATTTCACCAACTTTTGTCAAAATCTACTAAAAATCTAATTTTTATCCAAAACAATCAAGGGCGAAGTGTAATGAGATTGATATATGGATAGCAATAATCATACCATAATACTCAATGAAAAATGCGAGGAGCTACGATACCTTCGTTAGAGCTTTCAAAATATTTGAAATAAAGATGTCAGATTGTGTGTGTGAGAGAGAGAGAGAGGAGAGAAATTTGGGTGGGGCGGTCGTACCATTCACGTGGTGAGACTGCCCAACCTCGAGGCGCCACCTCTGCGGATGGCCCACACACCTGGAGGTGTGTAGTGGCCCACCTATCGAGGTGGCACACCGCTACGTGGTGTGACCACCCTAACTAAGTTTTTTCCGAGAGAGAGGGAGTAACAAATTTTGTACAAAAGGGTATGACTTAATCATGAATTAAGAGGTCTATATAATGTTTTAGGAGAGTTGCCTTTGTATGATTAGGACATTCTTGACAAGCAGTGATATGTGATCTAATATAGGCGCAATCCTTAGGGATGTCAAACGGGTCGAGCGGCTCGTTAAAACTCGGCTTGGGGACAGTCCGGCCTCAAGCACCGAAGTCGAGTAGGGGGCTCAATCCCATCAGCTGAGCCCACGAGCGGCTCATGAACCGTGTGCCCATGAGCATAAAAAAATATGCAAATTTATAAAAAAAAAATGGTTAAAAAATGTGCAAATTTATCAAAAAATTAAAAAATTAAAAAGATCACGAGCTCTCGAGCGGTTCGTGGGCAGACCCATTCGTAGGCTCGTAAAAAAAAATGCAAATTTACAAAAAAAAGTTCAAAAAATGTGCAAATTTACCAAATTTTTTTTTAATTAAAAAAATCACAAGCTTGCAGATTTACCAAATTTTTTTTAATTAAAAAAATCACAAGCTTGCGAATGGTTCATGGGCAAGCTCGAGCTCAAATCGTCTTTCACGAGCCATGAGCCCAAGCCGAGCTTGTGGGTTAAAGGGCCGAGCAGAGCTGGCTCAGCCCATTGTCATCCCTAACAATCCTGGTTCACTTAGGAGTCCCTTTTCTATATGCTAAAAGTCGATCAATGTAGTAGGAGTGTTACACCGTAATTGATATGCGATGGAACTACACCATCCAAATACTAGTCCTAGTTTGTTATCGGAGTGAAAAGCTCGTGCGAGAGAGACATTAGGCCTCATGCTTGAGGTGTATCCTCGGCCCCGAGCCTTGAGTTGCCATGTTTTGGGGATCACTACTTGGCAAAAGAGAAACATTTACCTACTGGGAAGCCCAATATAGCATTATTAACGTTCTTGTGTGTCAAGTATCGTTAAAGTCAAATCATAACAAATAATAATGATGATGATGTGAGGTGGATCACACCATCTAATTGCTACAAGTTGATTGGTCTAGAAAGATTGAAGTGGATTGTGGTCAATTCTCCTATACTAGTCTTGTCACATTCACTCTTAACCATAGTACAATATTTGAATTTAAATTCAAATGGATTTGACTCTATAATTACAAGACTTCTTTACTTTTTTCATCTGAACTTGGCATAACAATAGAGAGAAAGTATAAAGAGATAACCTAGTGGGAGTATTTCATATCTCCAACGAAATTCTTGGTGGCTTCTAGCTGATCTTCTTTCGGTATATCCATTGTCATTCCCGTGGATGATGATGTATGATTCGGTGTGGCACAAATTTGAGCTCAACATCATAGGATACTTCATTTGTGGTGTTGAAGAAGCTTTGGATAGATTGGTTAGGTTTTTCCACATTATAGTTGTAATGCTCATTTATATATTACATTTTAAACTCTTCAAATAAAAATAATAATTCAACTTCCCTACAAGATGACGATTTATACTAGTAAAATTTTAGCACTGAATTAATTGACATGTTGCAGTTTTATAATAATAATGACTCACTAGAAAAGATGGAAAGAAGGTTTTATTCATTACAAAATTTGAAGTCGTAAACCCTACTAGAATTGTCACGAAGAGTTAGTGTTCGATCCATAAACTTGTTAAAAGATGACAATTTACTGAACGAAGTAGTATCAAAGTTAATGACGGGAGCGAGGACCAAAGGTTCTTAAATCGTTTGGACAACACACATGTCTGAACAACATATGAAAGATAGTATGTGACAAAGAACACATTCAGGTAAGGTACTAAGCCTTTCTTCATTATCTCCAGTACTATCTCTTATCAAACTTGAATTCTCTTCATCTTCTAATTTTCTCCCTTACCGAATTCTGTTCAACCTTTCTTTGGTCCCACTTCAGGTGCTGAAAAGAAGAAGAATGATATAAAATACTGACGTTAAGCACGTATGTAGCCTAATTGCCTTGCAGAATTTCTCAATCATTGATCAAATTTTGCCCCAAAAATGATAAATTAAAAGTTGTGATAGAATATTACTTTTCACTCAAATAATCAAACTTTCATTAATCACGCAATATATAACTAGTATAATAGAGCAATTCTCTCTCTCTCTCTCTCTCTCTCTCTCACTCAAAAAAAAACTCATACAAACATGAAAATTTCTCTTCTACCTGATAAATAAAAATACATACCAATACATCTAATTATAAGAAAAAACTAAGAAGAGCTCAAGTTGATAAGTAACTTTCTTCCACTGCTTTAATGAAAGAAGTATTCAAGATGAATTACTTAACTTTCACCTCCATTGATAGAAGAAAAGTTCAAGATGGTTAAGTAACTTCCACCTTCTTAATAGATGAAGAATTCAAAATGGTTTAAGTAACTCTTTCAATAACTCTCAACTAATGACGAGCTTTTCCTTAACCATATAAAATTCTTTTATCTAATAAAAAAATTTTGCTTAATCAATTTGAATTTTGACTAAGTCATAAATTCATCTTCATACTTTTAAAACTTCTTAATGATCTTCAACTTCTTCTTATTTCTAGAATTTCCTTGGCCAAGTTTACATTACTTAAAATAAAAATAAAAATAAAAAAAATAAAAACTGGGAAATGACAATGATGATTTTAAAATTTATTGACTTTATCGCTGCTTTTGGTTCGTAGAAAATGTGATCTGGAAATGAACTTGCTTAGAGAATGACATGGCAAATTGACATGTTTAAAGTAGACAATTTCCGCATATTAAGAAAATTACGAATATACTGTCACACTCAAGCACAAAGCATAAATGTGCATGTATATCTATCATTTATGTTGTCATGTTAATTTAAGAAAGAATAGGCTGTATTAAGATTACCAAAATATTTACAAAACAATAAATCGTAATAAGTATAGCGAACACTTGCTAGCAAATGAAAGAGTTACTCTACGTTTACCCTTGACTGCTAAACAATAGTAGAGGGAACAGGAGACTACGGGTAGGGATGACAACGAAACAGGTATGGAACGGATCGGTCATTCTCATCCAGTCCCATTGGATATTTTTGTTATCTTACCTCATACTCATACCCAATTAAAGCGAGATGGGGCAAGGCAAGTCTCATGTCCCATTTATTTTTTCTTTTCTTTTTATTTTTTATTTTTTATTTTGCTTTTATATTTTATGTCCTTAGTAAATAGTATTACTTTTTTACCAATTGATTAAAAACAACTTTTGTTCTCTTTAAAAATAATGATAAATCTATTATTTCTGTTTGAATAAAAACTTAAATTTGAAATTAATATTAAATGAGGCGGGGACTATGTTTTCTGTTCCTGTCCCATACCCGTTTTGGGACAATGACCCTTGTCCCATACCCATCCCATGTATCTGGTTAGAAAGGACATTACCTACTCCATTTCCGGTGGAGCTCCACGGGTATCGGGTTGAGCAAGTTTTTTTGTCATCTCTAACTACAGGGAGTGGATGCATCCCCTGAATTTCAGAACATGCCCCATCTATATATTAATATCTAGTTATAAATTACTTTTATATAAAAATTTATATTTTAATTACAAATAGATATTTACATAAAAAATGGTTGAAAAAAGCAAAAAAATTCTAAGTATCTTTAGTTACAAACTATTTTTTCTTAAAAATAAACAATAAAAGAGAGAGAAAAATAGAAACAAATATAATATGTACATAATATAATCTTAGCGCGTTTGACAGCGATTCTCGTGTAATTATAAGGAAATATCCAACCATTATATGCAGGAAATGGCCCCACACTGTTGCAGGCATTTTGGACTGTACATGTCCTGTCAATTAAAAATTTTAATTAAAAGACCTTGGTGTACCTAAATTTTTGACACTCAACACAAAGTAGACATTTTTGATATTCCAATTTATAATGAAAGATGATTGCTAGTTCTAGTCGGGGCTAAAAATATTGTTACCACAAAATTTACTTATTACACCACATTTTTATTATTTACTTAAATGGCCTTAAGTAAAATGAGCCCCACTCGACGTACATGGTTGCTTTCACAGGGATCTTACAGGTCATGCACAATAAACGGTGGGTGATTATTTTTTTAATAATATTTTATTTACATGGACTCCACCCCATGTGAGTATTCTGGAATTATCCTACAAAGCATTATTTTGTACGCACTGACTAATTACTTAACTACACTTTAAAATCTACTTTTTAACATTAAACGAGACACCATAATCATTATGTTGATATATATGCTCTCACTTTACGTTGATTTTTATGCTTCTCAATTTATGGTATACATTTTCAATAATTATATGAATAATGTTTATAAATCAATTTATCCAGGCCCAGTTTTCTCAAATACAACCAATTACGATGGCAACTACAGTCAGCACTCCTCAACGTATCTTCTATATGCAACCTCACATCTACCATGATTCCTTCACAAGTAATTATGTTTTCATATTGTGGTTACAGTTTGAAACTTCGGGTTAATTATGCTAATAGTCACCGAACTTTGCAAAAGGTTTTCAAGGGGCTACTGAACTTTAAAAATCATCTAAATGGTCATTGAACTTTGTAAAATGCTTCTCAGAAGTCTCACTGAGCTTTGCAAAAAATTTCCCAAAAGTCACTGAACTTTCCAACCCCTAAACCACCTTAGAGCCATCACTCATGGACCACCAAAATCCACCCTCCGGCCACCTTGGCCGTCGGACCGACATACCACCTTGAAGCCCTCGCTTCCCTCTTTGTAACCCCCCAAGCTCCAGCCATAACACCAACCAATATGGTTGGAAATTCAAGCCAAAATGAGCGACCGAAAGCACAAAAAATGGCTGGAATCTTCATTTTTTAATGTTCCAGGCTGCCCATTTTGGCTTGGATTTTCGACCGCATCGGTTGGTGTTATGACCGAAGCTTGGATGGATTGCGAAGAGGGAAGTGGGAGCTTCAAAGTGGTATGTCGGTCCGACAGCCAAGGTGGCCGAAGGGTAGAGTTTTGGTGGCCCAAAAGTGGTGACTCTGACACTTCCGACCATTTTTTGTGCTTTGTCATCCCATTTTGGTTTGAATTTTCGACCAAATGGGTTGGTGGTATGTCGGTCCGACAGCCAAGGTGGCTGAAGGGTAGAGTTTTGGTTGTCCAAAAGTGGTGACTCTTAACACTTCCGGCCATTTTTTGTGCTTGGTCATCCCATTTTGGCTTGAATTTTTGACCAAATCAGTTGGTGTTATGGCAAGAGCTTGGGTGGGTTGCGAAGAGGGAAGCGAGGACTTCAAGGTGGTATGTCAGTCCGGTTGCCAAGGTTCAATGACATGAAGTATGGACCTAGTTGGCTTGCTAGCTGGCTACCACGTAGTGATGATCTGATCCAGCCTTGTCAAAAAGAGTCGTTACAATGCTCATCATTTACCCTTTGAAGATATGGGTTCGTTCATGGGGGTCTTTTTGATCTCCATAGCTAGGTTTTTTAGTAAGCTAAACCTTGAAAAACAAAAAACAAAAAACAAAAAAACTGCTCCTTTTTAATATCACATCAATGAACTTCACAGAAGATTGGAAAAGGAAGAGAGAAAAGAGGAATACTGAAATTTAATGAACACAACCACAACCAATATTGCCAAGAAAATATGTGCAATAAAAAATGGCGATAAGTCACACTAATAATTGGCCAAAATAATCACATACTCAAGCACTCCCCGAGAGACCTTCACTTATATAGAAACTGCACCATAATTCGATTCAACCCTCCTTCTTTCCCGAGCTTGGGACAGACTGTGTTTAGCAAACATGCAACACAGGCGGACTTACAACATGCATCCTAAACATCTCACTATGAATCAAGCCAAAATCCATAAGCTCTCTTAAATATTTCTTATTTCTCCCTGTTCTTTCTCATTGGCATCTCAACCAAAACCCTAACATTAATGTTGCCTACGCGGGAACTCTTTGAGTTTATAACAATGGTGCACATAAGCAAATTTTCAACTTATTACCAAAATAGAGAAATTTTGAAAGAAAATTGTGAAATGGAGAAAGAAATATACTGGTATAATGAACATTCTTTTATATTTCTAACAATTCCTATGTTTTGGGCAGGACAACAGGTGATCTAAGTGAGCATTTTGACTTCTAAAGAAGGAACAAGAATTATTTATTTCAGATATATTACTGAACTAACATGGATAAAGGAACTAACTATAACTTCAAAAAGCTGTACTACTAAATTTGATTTAGTTGACAATTGAATCAAGTAGCATACTTCATACCCAAGAATAAAGAGTTCCATCAACCCCAGCGAAGAAACCTTTTTTTTATCACGGTTAGTATGAATCCGGTGCGTGGACTCCAGCTGCCACGGCACTTCACTGAGTGGATGTGAACAGTAAATAGTCACAGAAAGTTGATCAATGTTATCAGTGTGCTGTAAGAGAGCCCAACATAACCTCAAAACATTAGCAACACCACAGGAATATTGTACATGTCCCTGTAAGTAAATGTAGATAGCCATGGAACTGACAAATATTAAGTCACTTGACTTCTTACACACCCCCAAAGCCGATTTCCCAACCTGGTAGAGCTGCACTGAATTGTGGAAAAGAATTTCCTGCTACTGCATGTCCGGATATTCTTGTGCAAAAGTGAATATTCCTGTGCACGGATTAGAAAGGTCTCCCACAATATTCATTTAAGCAGAAATATCAATGAGAAGTGGGAACGATGTTGTTATAACATCAAATAAATAACTAAAGCTTCTTGACCGCCTTTTATGTCAACTTCATAAGCATGCCAAACATTGATTTTTCTATGTTGAGAATGCAGTCACAAGAGGCATTAATAACTGGGAAAATGCTTGAAACAATAAAGCAGAATCAAGGAATTGGGAACATTGATAAACATATGACCAGATAGATAGCATTCGCAAAATCCTTTTGTAGCAATAAAGAAAATATACTTCTCTATAAAGATATCTAAGGATTCTATATGAAATTGATCAAAAGCAGTCTACATTTCATATCATTTAGAGAAAAAACAGCCCGGGGGGTGGATGGCTAGTGCAAATGTACAGTAAACAAAATCTTCATTTTTAGCAAAACAATTCTTCACAGAAACCTGTAAAAGAACTTTCCAAGAAACAACTGTCCATTAATTTTTTTGAGGGAAGTCAGGTTAGTAAATAGGGAAGAAAATCTAGGTATTGTAAGAGAAATAGACATAAAAAGATTGACAAGGATAGAACCCCGTCATCTAAAAAGAGAACAAAATCTGTTACTGCAAATCAAAAACATGAGAATCTTATGTCAATTCTCTAATGGATTCCTAAAACATGAGAATCTCACGTCCATTCTCTAATGGATTCCTATAACATATCATCTGCATTTGAAAAACACTGTATAAACCAAAGCATGGTACCCATTTTTTTCAAAATATATTTTTCTCTCTTCTTTTCAACCACACATTTTTCATTAAAATATTATTACACGTAAATCAAAAACTTTTTCTTATTTTTTAACCACACATTTCCCATCAATTTACTATTCCAAGATACATTTTTACATAAAAATGGCTCCCAAACACCCTCAAAATATGCTTCAGAACTGCATTGTACTTTAAACACTAAGCTTGCACGACCAAAGTGCAACACTTAATTTTGATTTTAAACCTATAGCCTTGGAAATATCCCTTCAGTTGTTGATGTTGGCCTAATGGACAAGCTGACGGAACCAGAACCAAAGTTGTCTGTATGATTAACACCCAGGATTTATATATTTCATGCACTCACTAACGATTTAGTTACAGACCTAGGAGCAAACTGCCATTTCAGGAAAAATTAATGGCCTCAATTTATAGGCAATGAAACCAAAAACCTAATCATTCCAAAGATTCTTCGAATAGTTGTCAACATGCCCACTTATTCTCTAACTATATAAATAAAAATAAATAAATAAATAGAAAGAAAGAAAGAAAAATGCTTGAAGAACTTGATTATCAAGAATTTGATCACCCTCAAATATTAATAACGGCAGATTGAAAAGTAAGTTTATAACACGACAGCTCCTACATATGTGTCAATGCATATTTTAAATTGCTATGTGATTCTAACTCGAAATTGCTTTTGAATTTCCATCTTGATCCATAATATGGGATGGAAAGAAATACCGGGAAAAATTTTCTTCAAGGAAGGGAAAAGTTGATCATGACTCATTTAAAAAAGTAGAGAGAACCACATTCAGGAAGGTTATCTATGAAGTACACGCAAAATCTCACCAGAGAGGGGAAATGGTCTTGAACCACAGGTGCAAATGTGGCCGCAAGTAAACAAAAAATAGGTTTCCCCATGAAATGATCAATCTCCACCAGAACTCTCCCAAAACACAAACTGAGAATGTTGAAACATAAATGAACAAGGAGAAAACAAAAGAAAATTCTACACCCTTGTTACATTGATATCCATTATCTTTGACCATAAGGATTTTCACCAGCAGCTGAGGAAGCACAGAAGAAAACCAGATTCCATACCAATATAAGAGTCAAGATCACATTCCAAGCAACTGGAAAAAATTTCATAAAAACCAGCAAACATGTAAAAATAATAATGTTGCTTCACCTCCACTCTGTCCAGCTAGACAGAAGTTTCCCGAGAAACAAAGATAACCTCTGCTCTCTGAAGCTTCCTTAAAGAAATGTGGGAAAAATTAATCAGAACCAAGGAGTTGGGAAAGTCGATCAAAGCATGACCACATAGACAGCATCACATAATCCTGTCTAGAGAGGTAGAGAGAACATACTCATTAAAAAAAGGCCAATAATATTAGTAACCAAAAATCATATTTTCACCTTACACACCTTATAAGTTATCCCCATTACAGCAATATTCTCTTCCTGTTGAAATCTTTCTGCACGTAACGAAACATCAAAGAACCTAAGGCTTTTTATATGAAAAGACAGAGAAGTCCAATTCAATTCATCTGGGGAAGGTTAAAAATGAGTGGTGCAAATGTAGCAGTATACGAATAGGTTTCCCTTCAGATTGCCTTATAAACTGATCAATCTGCACCTAAAACCCTGACAACGTAAACTGAGACTGTTTAACCAGAAATGAACGAGTAAAAAAGAGGAAAATCTTACACCTATTCATTAATGACCATTATCATTAATCACAATAATTCCACCTGCGGATGAAGCGCCAAAGAAACCGATATTCATCTTTAGCAATACAAGAGTGAAGATCATATATATATTGCTTCACACAACCCTGAAGACCACTTATAGACTGCAAATACTAAGGAACAAAGAAACTCATGGAAACACCAATGAAATCCTTTTTTACCGATCAAAAATAACAAACAAACCGCATCCATGAAATTCACCAATGGAAATCGAAGTCATAGAATTTAAAACCAACTACATAGATTCAAGCTGCAATAATGTGAGTCCAACAACCCCATGTCCTAACCACTGAATTGAAAACTGCACAATTCAAACTAAAAAAAAAAAATCTGAATAGAATTAGTTAAAGGAATCAGCGATAAACAGATTTACAGGACAAGATACGTTGTCATCTGAACAGAGACGACAAATGCTATTGCTGCAGCAGATGAAAAACATGATGAGAAAATTTTGTCACTTCTCCAGTCAATTCTTCAAAAAAAAAATCTCCATATGAAAAACAGTGTACAGACCACAGAAAATAATGACCCTATATATTGCTTCAGTAACAAACAGCTTACAAAATAGAAGAATTCAAGATAGATGGACTAACAAAAGTGCAATTCTCCAATTGATTCCTCCAAAATATCATCTGCATATGAAAAACACTGTATGGACAACAAGAAAATAATGACTAGATTTCTCTTCTACTTGCCTCGTACTACAAACAGCTTGCAAAATAGAAGAATTCGAGATAGACGAAGACAAAAGTGCAACGCTTAATTCTGATTGTAAACCTTTAGTATATTTATCCCTTGAGAAACAAGATACTGCCTAATGGAAAACTGGTGGAACCATAACCAAAGTCGTCCGCATGAGCAATCGTCCAGTATTTATATACTTTTGAGTCTATTTCCTGCAAATAACTCACTATAAGGATTCAGTATATTACGTTAATGGCCTCAATCCACAGGCAACGGAACCAAAAACCTATTTCCAAAGATTATACCGGAATAAATGTCAATTTGTTATAACAGATACCAGGAAATTGCATTACGTTAGAGAAAAGATGAAAAAAAGGTGATCCAAGAATTACCTATCGTGATAGTTGGAAATCACAGTATCACACATTAGCTGCAGATGTTAAACTCGATATCCAAATATTTTGCAAAAAATACGAAAATCCACTTGAGAAAAAACTCCATCAAACTACTTTAAATTCCAACTCTCAATCCAGTAAGCGAAATGAGTTCAAAACACTAAAGGTTGGGGCAGTCATCAAAGCACCAGAACAATATTCACCAGCTCAAGGTATAAAAACCCCATATGAAAAACAGAAAACAGGCTAAAACTATTAAAAAAATCGTCAGAGTATTCCAAGATTCAACTAATTGGTATTACGAAAGTACGAGGATACCACTTCCCGGACGAAGCAAAGGCAACACAGGCCCAATCCTTTAGAAGATTCTTGGAATAATTGCCGGTGTGTATCTGTCGTCATGCCAAGAAATGAGTACATCTTCTTGTTATGATTTTAATAATAAACAAGAAATTCAAAGTATTGGAAAAGACGAGAGTCTTGATGGGGTCTATCAAACCATTAAAATTTCACATGCTCAATCTAGAAGTTGAAATTAACAAATGACTGATTGTATCTGCCAAAACAAAAAAGAAATACCCACAATACAAAGGAAAAAGAGCTAAAACCGTCAAAATCATCAAAAAAGATCCACGATAACCAATATCTTGAAAATACGAGCATACCAGATCTCAGGGCACCAAAAACCCAATCCTTCCAAAGATTCTTGTAATATTGTCATTATGTATCAATCATCATACCAGGGCGTCAGCATTCAAGAAATAAATGAGAGCTCCAAGTATTTGCAAAGATATGAGAATCCAAGGAGGGGGGGTGCCAAGAACTCCATCATGCAACTTACCATTACCACAAAGAACATCCCATAGAATAAAACGTGAATATGATTGAATCATACTAACACCACCATTCTGCATCATTGATCAGAGAATTCAAATGGACAAGGAACAACTAAACTGTTACCGGAAATGCAATCTTGAATTCAGCCAATGGGTAGTTATATATTTTATCTCACTGTAAGATATCACATCTCATTCAGATACTTCATACCTCTACAAACGAATATCGAAGTTCACAAGAAAGGAGCAGAAAAATACCCAAAAATGCTATCACACTCAAATATTTTTGGCTGTTGGACTGAGCTATAAAGAAATTTAGCGCCGAGACCAATGCTTGAGTCAGACATGGAATGAGTTAAATTTAACAGAGTTAAGAGCTTAATGCAGACAACACTGCTTACCAAAAGCCTCTAGCCACCTTGTACAATATGTAAGGTCAGTCACCATCAGTGTCATACAATTATTGGACAGTGTGCCTTATTAACTCGTTGGTTTGGACATTTTGTCAGATATCCTTGAAACTTGTCAGATCGGCCGAAGTGAGGATGTCTCTTCATAACTGCTTATTAGGTGGAAAACCTGATTACATCGACAACTGGCATGCAGCTTACCTCTTCACTAAGCTTAGGACTTGATGCTGATGTCCAAGCTAAAAAAAACCAGGACCATGACTTGTTCCCTTTTCTAATAGTGATCGATTAAACCTTTGTTAAAATCAGGTTAACGAGGTCACTCATGAATTCTTAATAAAGATCCCGAGGCCCAACTAGGTACTTCGGTCTCTGATCCCATTCTTGGACCACACTATAAGCCAAGCTGGTATTCCAAATTGGCAATTAATATGACTAGCATCACTGGCGGACGCAGATATTTGGAGTTAGTGGATCAAATTTATGCATTTTTTGGCCCCCATTTTTTGGAAATGAAAATGGATGGAATATTTTTTTTTAAATAAATAGCTGAAAAAGAAGGAAAAATTTTCGATTTACGTGTAATATTATTTTATGAAAATTTTTTCGATTTACGTGTAATATTATTTTATGAAAGATTGTGTGGTTGAAATATATCAGAAAAATGAAATGTAATATAATGGGGGCCAAATGAGGGCTTAAGAAAAAGTTGCTGAAAATTTAATATATTTGATATTTTATTACAATTGTTCTCTACGCGTTCTAATGAGATAGTTGATAAATAAGAGAAAGAAAGAGATAGTGAATTCCGTGAAAAATAAAATCCTACTCTTCCTAAAGAAAATAATTTCCTTGATTTTGAGGAAAATATGGTCACATGACCAAAAGTGAGAAAATATTTTTCATGGAAGAAAGGCAATCAAACAGTACAAAAGTAGGAGTTTGGATCAAAAAACACATTTTTTACGAAAAATATAGATAATCAAACGCACTCTAAATGCAGATTTACCTTTAAAAGTACTTTTCTATACCTGTTATAAACAACCAATTAAAACAATCAATTCGACTGAAAAAATAATTTGTTTATCAATAATCACAGATTTATCAATAAAAACAATCAATTCAATTGTTCTTTAGTAATGAAAGGATTCTCTTTTTTCTTCGTGATTTTGGAGTCTATTAAAAAAAAGTAATAATAATAATAATAATAATAATAATAATAATAATAATAATAATAATAATAATAAAAACCTCTAAAGCTAGTGGGTAGACCCACTAGGACCCAATGTGGATCCGCCAATGATTAGCATGGCTCGTGTACTTAGATATAACGCGAGGAGAGGGGGATTAACCAAGGTGAAAAAAGAAAATTGTAGAAAAAGAAAATATAAATTCCACTGAGGGTTAGTGCAATAATAATAAATACAAAAAGCATTCAAGCCTCCTATGCAGTTAGTATTTATCTAATGCAGGCACCACCATATATGAATTAATGCAACTTAGAGATGGAATCCAGCTGCCACGACGCTTCACTGAGTGGATGTGAACAGTTAATAGCTACCAGAAAGTTAATCAATGTTATCAGCGGGTTGTAAGAGAGCCTAACATAACCTCAAAACATGAGCGTGCATGGATAGCCACAGAAGTGATTAATTAATAGTCACTTGACTTCTTACACATCCCCAAAGCCGGTTTCCCAATCTGGGGCAGAGCTGCACTAAATTTGGATAATAAAATTACCTATTACTACTACTGTATGTTTAGATATTCATGTGCAAAAGCATTTCCGTCCATGGATTAGAAGTACTTTAAAGGTAAATCTGCATTTAGAGTGCGTTTGATTACCTATATTTTTCGTAAAAAATGTGTTTTTTGATCCAAATTCCTACTTTTGTACTGTTTGATCTCTGCTCTGGCAATATTTATTAAGTAGAGATATCGATGAAAACTGGGAATTATGTTGTCTATAATACCAAATAAGTAGCTCCTGCTCTTCTTGGTTGCATTTATTTTTTGTGTTCTTCTGAAATTCTGCTCAGTCATTTAATTTCTCACTGAAAAAGAAGATTACTGAACTCCACAGAAATAGTCGAAGTCCGAGGTCGAACCAAAGGGAATTGGAAGAAAATAAACTATTCTATAAGTGCTACAATGGAGACGAACACTAGAGCGTCGGGGATTCATTTCAGATAAATGAGTAGAAATTACTCTTGATCTTTTACTTAACTTATATGGAAGTGATCATATTGAAGATAAAACATTGATTGCAAGTATACTAAAAGATAAATCTTGATAATTATTTGAGAGAATATATCAAAATAAGTTGTTGATATATAGAGATTCTCTAAGCATTTTATTGTGCTAAAATTTGTCAACAATAAATCAAAGTCTTTAACAAATCAAAACCATTTGTAGAACATATACTTCAACCAAGTAAAAAGATGAACATTGAAGAACAAAGTGAAAGATCAAAGACAATACACCAAAGTTTCACCCCTAGCTAGAGCTAATGATAAAGAAAAATGTTACAAAGAAAATAAAATAAACTAGAATATGATGAAGAGGAATTGATTCTCTCAAAATCTTAGCCAAGGTCCTCTTTTATAGGCCTTCGGAACATCCAAAATGTAAGTCAAGACAGCTGAAATATGCAAATTGGTGTCAATTTTCAGATACTTTGGTGCAACGAATTTGGACTTATGATCAACAGATAAATTATTGCCACTTGAGTTATCTTTCCATTAATGCAAATATCAGGTTTATTGGATCTCTATAACTCCAAATATGACAAAAACAATTAATGCTGCTTCACAGGTAGAAAAGTTGTATCCGGCAGGTAACAAGTGTCTTGCACGGTAATTTTGGCTGCCTTGTTATACGAATTTGACTTCTTGCGAAACATGAAAGTTGTAGATACATGCATTATCTTTCCAACCCAACTTGAATCACTGTGGTTCGCGGTCTGCAACTCAAGTTATAATCATTTTACTAACAACTGCTTCTTGCGACAGTTCACTATTCTTGACTTTTCAGCATTTTTTTCCTCTTGCTCCACTTGTTCTACCTTAGAAATACATGTGAAATACATCAAATAAATACTCTTTTAAAAGTATAATACTCATACCGACATGTATTTAAATACGTATTTAAGTTAATTGCATTTTTAACCATGTATTTATGAAAATTGAGTTTATGGCAAGAGAATTGAAATTAGAGACTAACATTAGTGAATTTAAACAAATTGAATGTAAAATGTCTTGTAAATAATATATCTTTGAAACACTTTTAGACACTAATCAGACACCCCAACCATATCTCTAGCAATAAAAATTCAAAAATAGTTCAAATGAAATAGCTTGTCGCATTTGCCTTAGGATTTGAAACTTCTTAACAAAATTCTTCTAAGATTTGCTATCAAAATATAGTCTAACTTGTCCAATGCTCAACCAACGTTTGTGTGCATAATCAATTGTTTCATCCCAACCCTCAATGATCAATTGTTTCTCTCTTCTCTCGTTGGATGCACACCCCCAAACTTTATTTTGTAACTATTTTCCCAATGTGTGATTTATGGTTAAATTTATATACTATTGCTCACCCTCTCTAGTTTGGTTAAATTTTACTAATTGTAGCTCAACACGATATAAATGAGGACTTAATTTTGACTTATTCAACCTCCAAGAAAACTAAGCTACTAATCCTTATCAAAGGTCTAATTTTCTAAAATAAGTGTTTGGGACTTAATCAAGACATTTAGTCCGTCTTCTGTTTCATGCACCTCCTTTGTTTTTTCAAGTTTGCCGTGCGTATTCTGTTCCATGCACTAGCACTCTTTTTATATATATAATTGTCCTCATTGCTCTTTTAGGGTAGCTTCACAACATGGTAGCTTTTTCCCTTCTATACAATGATTAGTGCAATGCCCCTCATTAAACACTTATTCTCGAAAATCGATCTTTAACTTTAGATTTTCACCTAAGTATCATCTCATTGGTCCTAAGCAATCCACACAAAATTTAACAGAATCCACGTCTATCTCAATGTGGTGCTACAATAGCTCAATCACTCCAAACTATACTAGAGTAGGTTTTTTTTTTTTCTTTTTTTTTTTTTTTTTTTTTTTTTTTTTTTTTTTTTGTCATAGTTAATTCTACATATTCTATCCATCGATCCAATATAAATAATGTGATTTTCATGATTATTGTGCTCAATGTAACATGAACTAAAGCAAAGCAACATCCCCTAGTCACAATAATATAAAAACAATTTCAATGTGAAGATTAAACATGCAAAATGTATGAATTCGTAAGGAGCAAAATTTTGAAAAAAGGGTCGGGTTTTGAACTTTACCTGGAGAGTCTGCATAAACTTAGCCAAAATAAACCTTCAATTTCATTAGAGGGAAAAAAAATGACAATAAAAGAAACACACCTAAAACATACACATAACATAAGCTGAAAACAAACATACAAAATAAAACAATAAGAAAAGGATTGACCATGTAAAGCTACTCTTCTAATCTAGAGAAATTCTCAAAAAATGGTTTCAAACGATGTCCATTAACTTTAAAAATATTTTGTCATTAAGCCTTCGTTGCATTTCTCTTGTAGGTTTAACATATTCCTCCAAATAAATCTTATGTGTGAAAATCAAAGGATTAATCCCCTTTATATCAGCTATGGTGGAATCCCAAAACATTTTTATGCATTTTTAAAGTTTGAAGATACCATTTCTACAATTTATGAACGCATTTGAAGTAGCAAGAAATGGATGACCTGTCATTTGTGCATTTGAACTTAAAATAGGATGTGTGTCCAAAACTATAAAATCAACAGGATAATAGAATTTATCAATTTGAACTAGAACATGTTCTACAACCCCTCTTGGAATTTTTACTGAACGATCAGCAAGTTGAAGTGTTGTTGTTGTTGGCCCAAACCAAGTTGCTCATACACAGAAAAATGTTGTGATATATGAATAAAATCATCTCTCCAACTAAAGTTGGGATGATTTCTCCATTGTTGATTATATGGCTTGATCATGTAAAATTTCTTCGAAAACTGGGATGTTAGAACAATCATGCGACACGGCTTCAACATTTCTAGACAAACTAGCAATCCTAACTCATGCGATAAGATTAGATCTTATCGAGTTTTCGATTGGGTTTACTTGCCAAAATTGAGAATTTTCAGTTAGATGATCTAAAAATTCTAAAGCTATTTAATATTTATCTAAAAATTCACCATTGCACATCGTTTTTACAAATTGTTTTGTTTCAGGAGTTAAGCCCTCATAAAAGAAACTTATGATAAGCCATTTTTCAAAAACATGATGTTCTTACCATGTGCCAATCGACCTAAGTTTTTGTTTTATATTTCAGAAAAAAATGAAAGAATTTCAACTTAACAATTTCATTGAGACAAGTTTGATCGTTAGCACAATACTTCCTCAAATTCTTTAAGATGTAATAAAATCATACCCAACTTGAATCGAAAATTTATTAAGAGAGAAAATGAAACATGAAGGAGCAGAGAATTTCAAGGAGGTTACAAGACACATGGTTTGTGCTTGTTGATTTTCATTTTCATATACACTTTCATTATGATGCCATGGTGGAAGATGTGAGTGAGTATTGAGGTAAGTCAAATAAATTACTAAAGAAAGTTTCACAATTATTTTCAACTAAACGATGAGAATTAAATTCACGATACCAATATGACATAAAATAACATAAAATAGATGTAAAGAACGAAAATTAGGTGGCACGGCCAACCATAATGTAAAGAACTTGATATAATAAAGAAACGGCAGATCGGGAGGCTCGGCCTTCCTTTACGACTGCTTCTTGCTCCACTTGTTATACCTTAGAAATAATGTGAAATACATCAAATAAATAATCTTTCTAAAGTATAATACATGGCCAACACGTATTTAGTTATTTCGATTAATTAGCTAGAGTATTTATGATGGAGAATCTTGCATTGGGGATTCACTTCGAATAAATGAGTAAAATTACTCTTGATCTTTTATTTTTTTCATTGATTTGCTCATATTAAAAGATATTGATAATTGTTTGAGAGAATATGTCAAAATAAGTTATTCGTACACGTCTACAATAAATTTTGAACAAACCAAGTAAATGAACATTGAAGAACAAAGTGATCAAAGACAATATTACATTCACCAAAGTTTTACCCAATGAAGGAAACTAGAATATGATGGAGAGAAATTGATGATCTCAAAATCGTGGCCAAGGTTTGGCAAAGGAACATCCAAAATGCAAGTAGACAATGCAACTTGTTTCTGTCCAGCTTCAAGACAGCTGGAACATGCAACTTGATATCAATTTTCAGATACTTTGTGCAGCGAATTTGGACTTATGAAACAGATAAATTATTGCCAGTTACTTTCTATTGGTGCAAATAAATTCATTGGATATAACTCCAGATATGACAAAAACAACGAGTGCTGTTTCACAGGTTGAAAAGTTATATCCTACAATTAACAAGCTGGACTTTGCACGGTAATTTTGGCTGCATTATGATACGAATTTGACTTGCAAACTCAGCTTGAATCACCTTGGTTTCAATGTCTGCAGCACAAGTTATGATCATTTTACCGACAGCTGCTGCTTGTCGCTGATTCTTGACTTTCGTTGATTTTTTCCTCCACTTGCTCTTGTTTCTAAATTGGAAATACATTTAAATACTCTTTCAAATGTATTATACTCATGCCGACGTATTTAAATATGTAATTCAATTAATTGCATTTTTAACCACGTATTTATTATGGAAATTGAATTTACGGCAAGAGAATTGAAATTAATGAAAATTCACTAATGTTAGTCACTAATTTTCAACTCTCTTTTGAAGGAGTATTTATTTAATGTATTTCACGTGTATTTTCTAAGATAGTACAACTGGAGCAAGTGGAAAAAAATGTTGAAAAAGTTAAGAATAGTTGAACTGTCTCAAGCAAGAAGCAGCTGTCGGTAAAATGATCATAACTTAAACTGCAGACTGAACCACAGTGATTACTGGTTTGGATAAGATATGTATCTACAACTTTCATGTTTACCAAGAAGTTAAATTCGCAATATAAGGCAGCCAAAATTACCGTGCAAAGTCCAGCTTGATACCTGTCGGATACAGCTTTTCTACCTGTGAAGCGACACTTATTATTTTTATCATCTCTGGAGTTATAGAGATCCAATGAACCTGATAATTGCACTAATTAAAATCTAACTCAAGTGGCAACAATTTATCTGTTGATCATAAGTCCAAATTCGCTGCACAAAATAACTGAAAATTGGCACCAAATTGCATATTTCAGCTGTCTTGAAACTGAACAGAAACAAGTTGCATTTTCCACTTGCATTTTATTTTGGATGTTCCTTTGCCCACGCTGACCAAGATTTTGAAAGCATCAATTCCTCTTCATTTAATTTCCTTCATTTTCTTTGTAACATTACATTATGTATTTCTAAACCTTAGAGGGGTGAACCTTTGGTGAATGCCTTTGATCTTTCACTTTGTTCTTCAATGTATTTGGTTGAAGTATTCTACAAATGGTTTTGGTTTGTTTTAGACTTTGATTTATTGTTGACAAATTTTGACACATATTCTCTCAAACAATTATCAAAATCTATCTTTTAGTATATTTGCGATCAATGTTATATCTTCCATATGAGATCACAGGAGTTGAAATCCTGTGGTTCGACCTCGGACTTTCGAGTTTACTACTTGTGACAACTTGCGTTTAAGGATTATTTTCTGCTACTTTCTGTGAGGTTTTCTTCTCTTTCATAATCTTCATAAATCTTCATAGTTGGCCATGCCACCTAATTTTTGTTCTTTACATCTATTTTATGTTATTTTATGTCATATTGGTATCATGAATTTAATTCTCATCATTTATTTAAAGATAGTGAAACTTTCTTTAGTAATTTATTTGACTCACCTCAACACTCACTCACATCTTCCACCATGGCTGATAATGAAAGCGCACATGATGAAAATGAAAACCAACAAGCACGAACCATGCGTGTGATGCAACCTCCTCGAA